AAAAAGACAGATTTATTTATGGGACTATCAGAAATCGATATTATTTTGATACTCGCTAAATCATAATAGCGATTTTTGATACTCGCTCAATCATAATAGCGAGTTTTGATACTCGCTAAATCATAATAGCGAGTTTCAAAATGATATTGACCCTCTTCTTTTAAGCTTTATCATTTTACTGAGCTATTATATTGACCGCATCTATGATTTCTTGCCTGTGTGCTTGGAGCGCCTGAAGTGCACCTTAAATTGTGTTTCATTATTATGATTTTAATGGCAGATTGTCTTAAGTGGAGGCATCGCATCGAATGGCTAACTGAAGTGGACTGGTCTGGACGGGACGGGCCAAGCAATACCAGTCAGAAACTGGCAACTAGCAACCAGCAACCATCAACCTGCAACTTGCAACTTGCGATTGCTGAACGCCATTGAACATTGGCAGTCAATTGCTGCTCCGCCGATCACCGATCGCATCGAGAGCGAGGAAAAACTGGTGCAAATGAAACAAGTTATCTAATTGCAGTGCTCGAAGAAGTGTGGCAAGTGGCGAGTTGACTTTTGTTTTCTATTCGGATCAGGCCTCCACTTCGGTCCCCATAGCTCTACCCATATACCATACCATATACCATACCCAATCCCTCGTTCCCTCGAAAACCGCCTCCATTTACCAACGTGTTGTGCATACGATATATCGTATATCTCGTTGGCCAATACACACTCACACTCTAAACAGGCTCTGCATTGGCCTCTTGGCGTTTTTAATCGCACCAAATTTCAATTTGAATTTCACTTTCTTTTTCGATACGCTCACTTGGGTTTTTGCCTTTCGAACTTTTGTTTGTTGTCTTTGCCTCTGAGAGTTGTTTTTTTTCCCCTGCTTAGTGTTTGCTATTGTATTTCATTTCGTTTCTTTTTGTTTTCAAATGCAGCATAAGCAAGCAGCGACCATGAAAACTTTGGATAGAAAGGGCTTTCTAGTGGCGCCCGAACAGGGACCCCAGGGGGGTTAAGGTGATAGGTGGGTGGGAAGATTTATATATAAATATATATAGGCCGACACGAAATGGCGTGACATCAGTCTGCTAGGCGAATATTGAACCATCGAATGGCAACTTTGAGTTTACCGTGTCAAGAGAGAGTAAACATAATTGATATGCATCCATTAGGCAGTAAATAATCTTGATTGTATGACGTTGGAAATTTATGACCGATCGAGCGTAGTTAATCCACTAGGAAAGGATCGGAGGCAGTGAAGACTCTATAGATATGTAGTAACGATAGCTTAAAGTCTTTTAACTGAAAGTCTTGTCTACTGTTTTGAAATAAATATAAGTTTTCTAATTCAATGTCTTATTAAAATAAACTAGTTTGTGACTACTCATTTTAATGATAAATATCTTGAAAATAATAACATCATTACCACAGATTTATCATGGTTTTTTATTAAGGTACCAGTAAATTAGCATCTGACAGCAGAAAACCCACAAAAGAACCTGACAACAAAGTAGAGCACCCAACAAACATCTTTCAATTACCATTCACATAAATACTACGTAGCAACCGGTTTTCGTTTTCACTTTTATTTTGGTAATGAGAACTCTTTTAAGAAGTTCGCATCTATACAGCGAATTTTAGGCTAAACTGAAGTGGATAGATATTTGTATAAAATGAAAGTTATATAACCAAAGAAAACGAAATTTTACACTGAATACCTTTGCAGAATGCGGTGTTTATAAGTAGTTAACACCTTTTAGTTAAGATTTTGTCCAAATTATTTAGGTTTTTGGGGAAGTATACTAACAGTATTGCATATGGGCACTTCCAAAATGTCGCTCGGGACATTTGCACACCTTTAAAGTTGAAAAAAAATTGTAAAACAATGGATTTTAATTTTAATTATAGGCTTTTCTTTTCACTCTTCCCAAGCTCTATTTTTGGTAAAAATCTTGATTTTGTACCACTTTTAGTTTTTAAGATATCGGTAAAAAACTGCCGTATTCGCTCGGGACAAAAATAGAAGTGGATTTCGGGGAAGTTCATACAACACCAGAAATTAGCGAATTCTGATGGAATATTTTAATGCGATTTTTTTAGAATGTTGTTCAAACATGTCGCTGTGAAATGCTTTTGGTTTTACTCAAAAATTCTTTGCCGTTTTTTTTTTATACAGTTTCAACCACATTCGCTCGGGACATGTCGCTCGGGACATTTTTTCCGACTGTTTGGTAAAGCGGATTTCTTTACCTATATCTCTCAATTGCTGGATGTTTTGCTTTAAACTTAATAGTTTAGCATGTGAATGAAGCATTCAGTACAGAAAAATGTTACATATTAGCATTCCTATAGGATAAATTAACAACAGAAGACAGGTCCAAAAAATAACAAAAAAATAGCCAAAAACTGATTATTCCGTATATTGGTAGAGTTTGTCATAAAAATAATCAAACTATACTCGAAATTTGTAGTTAAGCTCAGTATCCAACTAATTAGAAACTAATATCGGGGCAAAATCATGTGGAAATATGTTTTATTCAAGTTTCAAGGTTTTTGGCTTGGTGGACTTTTTTTTGGAAGTGCCCATATATATTTTAAGTAGTCCAACTTTCCACTGTAACACTTCCTAAAAAAATATGGCACGCTTCGTTGGCTGAACAAATTTGTTTTAAAATTTCGTTGATCGCTTTGTTTTCCAAAGTGTTTTCGATGTGTGCGCCTCTTGTTACACCTGTCCATGGGGTAATCACTCACAAATTCGGTGAAATTATTTACCATGCGTTAGGAGTTTCGAGTTTTGAGTTTCGAGTGGGTGCGTGGGTGTATGTGGGTGCTTTGCGGCGGGTAAAAGTTTCGTAACTGAGCACCTTTAACCCACCGATGGATCCGATGATGATGATGGCGATGAGAAACCTCACTTGAGGGTGCTGTTTGCTAACAAAAACAGCAGTTGGCATTGAGTTTGCTGTCAAAGTCTTTTGTTTGGCGTTTTGTAATAATCCCAACCATTTTAGTTAGTACTTACGCTTCAAACACAACGATCGTTCGTTCAAACACAAAAACACACACGTTACGTTGCTCTTTATTTTTTTAAAATCCCTTTCTCGTTTCGGTGACTCATTTGGCGTCTTCTGTAATTTTCGTTGTTGTGCCGTTTCAATTAAATAACCATTTGCATAATTAAAGCGCAACAAGAGTGCTGTGCTGCTGGGTCCTAAAAACGAATTGTACAATTAAAATGCAATCAAAGCTGCGTTAATGTAGTCATTAAAGGCTGTCAGCGAAAAATACAAAACACAAAAAAAAGAAAAGGAAAGAAAGAAGCACAACCGAAAACAAAACAAGGCGCAGACAGCAACAAAATTATGAACAAAAAACAAAAATCACAAAATTTATTAAAAAGTGAAAGTTTTTAGTCGGCGTGTAGCCGTTTGCACAAAATTACCAGGGGGAAAAAAGAAATGCAAAAACAATCGGCGAGTCTGCGAAACAAAGCAAAACAAATCGCCAAAAGCACCGCTACCGCTTCGCTGTGAGAAGAGAAGAGAGAGGAGAGATAAGAGAAGAGAGCGATTGGGTTCCACACTCCCATTGCCCATTGTAGGATCAACCGAGTTCGATTCCAATTCTTTTTTAAATTAAATTCTTCAAGTCGTGGCTCCCAGTGCTACGATAAGATGTTGTAAGCAGCGGCCCCACCACGGCATCCAATTCGAGGAACGGCGGCGCGGGTGTGGCTCGCAAGATCTTCCACCCGCACCATCCACATCTGCATCCGCATCACCACAACTATCCGCATCCACCTCCACATCCAAATCCCCATCATCCGCACTACCAGCAGGCCCATCGCACGTTTTATGGCCAGCTGCCTCAGACGTCGCAGTACGACTTTGCCCCACCGCTACCACCGCCGCCGCACTACCCCCTCAGCTGGAGAAACCCATGTTTCAGGGGTCCGTCTCAGCGCAGTAAGTGGTTCCTGCTAAATCAGCGATGGGAAGGGGTACTTATTTTTATACATACAATGTATACAGAGGTACATTGTAAAGGATATGTCTAAGGGCGGTACACGGTACACACTTTAAACTGAAAATTTTAAGATGGTAACACGGTTATAATGTCTTTTTGATCTTAGAATTTTAAGTTACTTCTCGTTTCACTCAAAAGAAGTACAGAGGTACATTCCAAAGGATATATGCATGTACCCAAGTGAAGTCCAAGGTACCATTTAACGTAGTAAAGAGATTAAAATTAAAAAGCTTAAAGTTGTAAGGTTTATATTTAACATATTCTTATTCTTTTTATTCCAATATAAGGTACATTCTGATAGATTTAAATCACTGAAGTACACGGTATATTTTAAAAGGTTCTCTTTTTTTTAGAGTTACTTATTATATATCTGAAAACAATAAAATAATAAACTGTAATAACACTGCTTAGTATTATTATTAGTAACAAAATAGTAGAGAACATTAAATTGAGTAATAATTATTTAATATGGTGTCCAATATACAAATAATTTTAGAGGATTTCATGTAAGATACCATTTATAAAAGTATCCCCACAAGGTAAAAATCTCCATAAATCGGTATGGTCTCTGGGTTGCCCATCACTGCTGCACCTTTGGTGGTGTATGCAAAAACCCCAGCACCACCTGACTGGACTGGACTGGTGGTGCCGCTTTTGCGGCGGGGCAACCCAAAGGCGGAAGCAATTTGATTGCTTGTGCATGTCACTTTCACCGCTTGCAATCTTTGCACTCGCCGGAGGTCGAGGGAGTTGGGGGAAAAGAGGTTCCCGTGGTTGTGGGAGAACGTGGATGGAGGCACACATCAGTGTGTCAGTGGGGTGGCCGATGATACTGGGGTACGTGTGTGTGTGTGCTGGGGGCACTACTTTATGTGCGGGTGCCAATTTCATAATCTCTTGCATTTTTGCCATGGCATTTTCACTCGCCCAACCAACTAACTAACTGAACATCCGCGTGTCTTTTTCTATCTTTGCAGTCACCGTCAATCCACCGCCCCAGAGGCCCTGGCTGCCACTGGCCAAGCCCAACAAAACGCGACCAGCCTGTAAGTTGTAATTAAAGATTAATGGCCGCCAGTCGGCCAGCAAAAATTTTCTATTACCAAGCCATTTGCAGTTGCCCTAGATAGCTAAACAAGCCACTCTTATTTCACTTCCATCGATAAGTCGTTTAGCAGAAATAATGTTTATGTATTTAAAACTGACTTAAGATTAAAATTTCTTAGTTATTTTTTGTAAATTGAGCAATAGCATTTATGACCTTAAGATCAGTTTATCGTTTTATATTTGAATACTGAAAATATTAAAGAATATAACTAATAAAACAAAATTTATATTTATAATAACTAGTTTTTTCTTAGTGATCTATTGTAATTTGTGCAATAGCATTTAAGACCTTAAGGTCAGTTTATCGTTTTAAATTTCAATACTGAAAATATTAAAGAATATAACTATTAAAACAAAAATTATTTTTATAATAAATATTAAATATAAATATTCAACCTTTTCTCCAATTTCTAGGCATTTTTACGGTCATGTGCTATAATGTGCTCTGCGATAAGTACGCGACGCGGCAAATGTACGGATACTGTCCGTCGTGGGCCCTCTGCTGGGAGTACCGGAAAAAGTCGATAATCGACGAGATACGGCACTACGCGGCGGACATTATCAGTCTGCAGGAGATCGAGACGGAACAGTTCTACCACTTTTTCCTGCCCGAGCTCAAGAACGATGGCTACGAGGGCATCTTTTCGCCCAAGTCGCGAGCCAAGACGATGTCTGAACTGGAGCGGAAGTATGTGGATGGTTGTGCGATATTCTTCAGGGCGTCCAAGTGAGTACAGATAAGGTATTCCTTCTGGATGAGAAACTTATGCAAAGCTTCCTTTAACAGATTCACGCTTATCAAGGAGTCGCTGATCGAATTCAACCAGCTGGCCATGGCCAATGCCGAGGGCTCCGACAACATGCTGAACCGCGTGATGCCCAAGGACAACATCGGCCTGGCCGCCCTGCTCAAGGTGAAGGAGAACGCCTGGGAGCCGATGTCCGAGGTGACGCAGATCTCGCAGCCGCTGCTTGTGTGCACGGCGCACATTCACTGGGACCCGGAGTTCTGCGACGTCAAGCTCATCCAGACGATGATGCTGAGCAACGAGCTGAAGACGATCATCGACGAGGCGAGCCACAGCTTCCGGCCGGGTCACAAGAACGACTCGAATGCCGTCCAGCTGCTGCTGTGCGGCGACTTCAACTCGCTGCCCGATTCCGGAGTGGTGGAGTTCCTGGGCAAGGGCCGCGTCTCCATGGACCATCTGGACTTTAAGGACATGGGCTACAAGTCCTGCCTGCAGCGGCTGCTCTCGAACGACACCAACGAGTTTACGCACTCGTTCAAGCTGGCCTCCGCCTACAACGAGGACATCATGCCGCACACCAACTACACGTTCGACTTCAAGGGCATCATCGACTACATATTCTACACGAAGACGGGTATGGTGCCGCTGGGCCTGCTGGGACCCGTCTCCAATGACTGGCTGCGCGAGAACAAGGTGGTGGGCTGCCCCCATCCGCACATACCCTCCGATCACTTCCCGCTGCTCGTGGAGTTGGAGCTGATGCACACGGCCAGCCAACAGGCGCCTCCCAACGGGCTGATCAATCGCCGGTAGCAATAGAATAGACGCGGCAGACCCACGACCACCACCAGCAGCAACACTAGCACCACTACCACCAGCAGCACCACCCTGATGACGACGACGACGGCGTCGGCGGCCACGCGCACGCCGGCTGCCACCGGGGGAGGTAGTGGTGGGACTGCAAGCGGGAGTGGAGGCGGTCTGATGATCCCGGGCGGCTACCGGGGACGCAGCTGCAGCAATAGCGGTTGCCATCGTCTGACCGCTGCCCTTGGAGCGTCGGCGAGAAAAGCAGCCAGTACCGCACAGCCGCCGCCGGCGGATAAACAGGCCACTCCCAACTGACGTGGCGATCTGCTCGCATCAAAATTCAGTTTTAGTTAGATACGACATGTACTTTGATTTCTAACCCCGGTCTCCCAGCTCTTCAATCAACCAACCAACCAAGCAAACATCCCCCCAAGAACCCTAAGTTATAAGCTGACGACGTTGTGGAGGTCCCGCCGCTTTGTGCGCTGGATCGCAAAGTGGATCGATGCACCGATGCAACCCATTAACTAAGATCGTAATCGTAATAGGCAGGAATATACATAATTTACTTGCTGCACACTCCTCTTCCGCGCTTCCCGTTTTGATTTTATCCACTGCACGTTTTCACCATCGAATAAATCCATTATATACAATATGCATATGTCAACTGTTAAATTCTTGAAACACACATTCACACAGCAAAAAGTAAAAATCTAAGCTAATTCCGTTTAGCAAAATTCTTAGCAGCAAACCGTTCGTAGAAGGTACCGGAAACCAATTAAGCATTAAGTAAAAAGTAAATTACACTGTGTATAAATTAAACGAAAAATACTGCAAATCTATCTGATCAAACACTGTTTTCTAAATTGAGTCTGAGAGGATTACAAACGAGATACAACCTATGTGTATAGATACTATTTTGGCCAGGCAAGTAAATCGAACCGGAAATGCTCCGGATGTGCAAAGTAAAATAGATCCTTTAACTAGTTGATAATGCAGCGCAGTTTCATGTAATGTATAACATTAGAAAGCTTCAAAAAAATAGGTCGGTCTACTTTTATTTCGAGTGCATTGGGGTAGGTCGATTTGTGTAGATGTTAATGAATCAAAAGAACATGTTCTTAGGGGCGGAACGTACTACAATGAGATTTAACCGAAATTATCCTTAAAACAACCTTTATTTTCCCTCGGTGGATTAAACAGATTACTTTCCGCCCCTCCGATTCTAAAGTAAGATAAATATACCCACCCTACTGTGCATATTTAGACCTAAAGAGATCTTATATAAATATAAACTATGTGTACATAACATGCGTGCAGCAAAAAATACAAAATAAAGAAGTATATTTATAAGTACCAAATGGCCGAAGAAGAACCATCCTGCATGGAAACGTTTCAACACACACACACACACCAATTCCATGACCGGCCCTCATTGTAAACTCCATTAAATGTCGAGGTATAACAAGATAATTATGTAAACTGATGACATAAACGAGGCGCACATCGTTTGCCGATCTTCAATCACCAAAAACCCCTCATCAATATAAATAAAGTCAAGAGAGAATCAAATGTACATGCTTAAATTGTTATTATTTCCCTATCAGGCACTGTTTATTGTGGGAAAAGTCTCTCCAATGGCGTGGCTCTCCTCCAAACGCTTGGCAATGGGGCTCCAAAGATTCGGGTAGGACTTCTCTAGCATCTCCAGATTCCCAATGATGTAGAGGGCCCAGCGGGCGCGAGAAAGCGCCACACAAACCCGATTGGGAAGACGCAGGAAGCCAATTTGGCCGGCGGAGTTGCTGCGAACTAATGACAGCAGCACAATATTGGCCTCCAGCCCCTGGAAACTATCCACACTGGCCACCTGGACGCTCGAACGATACTTTCGGTGAAGCTGTAAAGGAAGCTTTATAAATCTTAGGTCACATGATAAATAGGGATTACCTACCGCTTTCTTAATGCAATCTATTTGTGCATTGTAAGGTGAGAGTATCACAATATCACTGTGCTTGTACTTGGCCTCTTCGATAAGGAACTCGGTTAGTTTGGCCAACATGCCAGCCTCGTAGGGATTCTCGAAGGACATGTCGGAGGAGCGCTGCTCCGGTTGGTTGTGCTGCACAAGGTACAAGTTCTTATCCATGAGGCGAACGTCTTCGTATTCCTCGACAGACTTCGAGCAGAGCAGCTCGTCGTAGATGCTGGGCACAAGGAGCTCCGAAATGCAGGGTCGCATGCGGTATTGTAGGTTGAGCAGGGAGTAGGGCAAACCGGCCAGGATTAAACGTTCGAAGAGGGAGATCTGCGGCACCTTGCTGCTGCCGGTGAAGGGTTGCAGCTGCTTGTGGTCGCCGACGAGGATGACGTGCTCCGTGTGCGGCGTTAGGCAGGCCAGGATGTGTGCCTCCTGAATCTCGGCCGCCTCCTCGAAGACGACACACTTCGATTGCAGCAGGCGGAACAGAAAGTTGAGACGAGCCGCGCATGTGGTGGTCATGGCCAGCAGATCCTTGTCCCTGGCCAAAAAAAACTGGAAAACCATTCGCAGTGTGTCGATCCGGTCGGCCACCTGATGCAGCTGCTCCTGGGCCACCAGTGTCCGCTGGTAGCTCTCCTCGCTGCCATCAAAGTTCGCATACAGACTCTGCAGGTGCTGGAACTTCTCCTTGTACTCACAGTTGACCAGCCACCAGATTCGCTTCAAGCGCGGTGGCACCAGATCCGGATTGATCATGGTGCGCACATTGAACTTGGCTATCTGGGGGTTTCGCGTCTGGCAGCCAAAGCGAAGGATCTCCTGGGTGTACTGCGAAACTTTCACCAGAAATTTGTCCAGCGAGTCATTGGTGTAGGTCAGCACAATGATGGGTCCTGTGCCCAGAACTTTGGCATTCTGTATCAAACTGTTGACCAATTCGACTGATATGTGGGTTTTGCCTGTTCCTGGAGGACCTTGTATAATGCTGAACTCCCTGCTAAGAGCCTCCTTATAAGCTCTTCCCTGACTCTCGTTGAATGGGAGGTCTTGAGGCAGTTGGTCCAGTGTAAAGGGCTTGCGATTGAAAGTCAGTTTAACTCCTGGTTTGATGTACGCAGGCGATGGTATCTCCAACTAAAATATTTATATAGTAAATATAAACATAAATCATTCAATTTTTGTTTTATCATAGTATGCCATGAAATTTCTGATTTGTTTAATTCAATTCTATGTGAAATAAATTGAATGTTTTTCTAATTCATTCCCAATTAATTGAAATTTGAAATTTTTTAGTTTTTTTTGTGCTTTTTTTTGAGAAGAAAAAGTGGAAAACTTTTAGCAAATCAATGTTAACTGCTTAAAAAATAAACTTCATGCAGATTTAATCACAAAATTATGGCTCTTTCCTCTTCAAAAGAAATTGTCGTTTGAATTATTTCAGAATTCATGCAATTCATTCATTCAATTCTATTAAACTCAAAATTCTTATTAATTCATTCATATAAAACAAAAAATTCAAAATAATTCATTGAATCCATTCATGCAGGGCTCTAATAGTAAATTAATAGTTATTCTATTATAATAAATATTTTCTTACTTCTCCATCAACTATATAGCGACGCATGGGAAACTGCTCGGTGCTGCAGGTGCTCACGTAGTTGTGGACCCTGAGGTAGGGTTCAAAGAACACGGGTGTCTGGAACATGGTCAGTGGTCGGTCGTAGATGTTGCCTATGTTGTACTGCCTGACAATCTGCACACTTAGCTGGGGATTTAAGGAAGGTATAGGTATATAAGGTCTTAAAAATTATACTTTTCTGACTTACACAACCCTCTTTTAGTTTTTCTGGCTCTGTGTAGCCAACAGAAGCCAGAATAAGATCATCAAAGGCGAGACTGGTGGTGAGACAAAGCAATGCTCCTGATTTGATGTTGTCCAGTCCATTCCTATTGTCCTTAGTGGAACCATCTGTAGATTGGCATTTCAGGAAAACCAGGCTGTGACGCTGAGCCTCGGCAAACTGGGGATTTAAATTGAGATAAGTGTTTGACCACAGAAGACCCTGTTGCTCCTGCTCCTGGAGATCTCCTCCGTTGCGCAGCTGCTCCACAAACTCGAGTAAAGGTGCTAAAAAGTCCTCCTTCAGTAAATGCCGCTGTGTGTTCAGATATTGGACTACTTTGTCCGAGGTGGGTTGCTCATCTTCTGGTTTTTCCTTGCCCAGTAACTTTTCCAGCGTTGGATAAATTTGCCCCTTGACATTGTGGGAAAGGTGGCCGGTGAAAGCTTCCAGACCTTCAAGCAGGTCGCTCTTAAAGGAAGGAGCCAGTTTCTTGTAGAGCTCGACCAATTCATAGCCCTGAGGTCCAAGAACGCCATGTTTATGGGCCCTTAGGAGCAACCACTTTATGTGGGTCAATATCAGGGCCGAATCCTCATCGCATTTACCCACTGAGGCCTTGGCAAACAGCAGGTTCTTGATCTTGTCCAGCAGCACAGACTGTCGGCTGAAGGAGGCCAGGAAGTCCTCATCGAATCCGCCCAACTCCAGTTGACACAGCGACTTCAGGATGTCCACAAACAGACCCACTCGCTTCACACTGTCACTGGCCAGCAGTTGATTCACGAAGAGATCACGTTCCTCGGATAAGAAGTACAGGAACATGTCAATGGGCGGCATTTTCAGGGCCTTAATTAAGTCGGTTAGGGAAAACCGACCGTTGCCCTTGCCGTCATTTCCCACATTCCCGGAAAAGTTCTCCAGGTCAAGTTGCTTCAAGTAATCCCCCACTGAAAACGGAAAACTTTACATAGTCAGAGTTATAGTAGCTTTGTTTTTAAGGTTCTTACCCTCGGGAGCCCGGCATTTGATGTGCTCCTCATTCTTCTTCAGCTCCAGGGACTTGACCTTCTTCTCCAGATCCTGCACCAAATCATCCTCATCCTGGTTAAACCAATCTTCATCTGAACTTGACATGGTGTTTCGTGTGATAGCTTAGAAGCGCAATTGAAATCCCAAAAAGTGATGTTTGATGATACAGTAGAGATTAGTTAGGTAGTAACAATTAAAAACCACATAAAGTATATATTTTATTTAATACATTTTAAATTTTATTTTTGTGAGTACATAATTTATGTGCGACACAGCTTATTAAATGTATATAAAAAAAACAATAATTAGTAATGTAACATTTAAAACCTCTGCATATAATTAACTTTCAAATATCTGTCAGAAGCAAATTTTAAAGACTTTAATTTTAATAAACATATTTTTTTCGTATATAAATTGTACATGCAAAGGAATCTCCACTGTACCTGCGTCAATGGTGGCATTTTTTTCGCGCTTAGGTGCTCGAACAATCTGGTCACACTGCAGCCGGAGTAAAAAAATTTGTTGCTAGCGAAATTTCTCCAAATTGTTTAAGCTACTGCGCTTTAGTTTATTTCGCATCGGAATAATCAGCATTGCAACGGATTATTAAAATCCAATACAACCTAGAAAAGCAAACCAAGTAAGTAGCAACGTGGTTAATATCGAACTGTTTACTTTCAAATCGGCCCGCGCTTTTTCCCACGCAGAGAACGAAACCAAATGGAGCGAAGTCGCAGGGGCAGGATTCGCCGGATGCCGTCGTCCGGATCGGATAGCGATAGCTCCACCGCGGGTCCGAGTTCCAAGCGGAGCAAGCAGTTCGAGCAAACCCAATCCGAGGCAGAGGACGAGGCGGAATACATTGAATACCTCGAAGAGGAAGAGGAAATGAGTTTCGAGGAAGCGTCTCAATCGCAGGTGGCCATTTCGCAGTCTCAAATCACGCAGTCGCAGCGACGGACAGGTCCAAACATGTCGCAGCGTGTCAACAACTTTAGTCTATCGGTAGGGATTCCATATAAGTTCCCCATAAACCACACATCTAACTATAACTATTATATTCCCAGTCTGAGTTGCCCATTCCAACTGCCTTCGATCGCTGTGGCAAAGTAATTTCCATGCGCCTCACCAACTTCATGTGCCACTCCAATCTGTTCATTGAGTTTGGACCCAACATCAACTTTCTGGTGGGCAATAATGGCAGTGGCAAGAGCGCCGTGATCACTGCCTTGGCTCTTGGACTGACCAGCAGTGCTAGGGCCACCAATCGAGCAAGCAGCATACAAAGTGGGTTACCCAAAAGGCACCTCAAGCATCCAATAATCTAATTTGTATTCCAGAACTTATTAAAAACGGCGAAGCTAGTGCCACCATCGCCATAACCCTTTCCAATGCGGGTCTGCGACCCTTTAAAGCGGACCTTTTTGGACCCCATCTCACGGTTGTGCGTCAGATACGCCACTCATCCTCCACCTACGACCTCCAGGATGCCCGCGGCAGAAGCGTCTCCAAGAAGGTGGCTGAGATAAGGCGCATGCTTCTCTGCTTCGGCATCAATGTGGAGAATCCCATATTTGTGCTGAATCAGGAGGCAGCGCGGGAATTCCTAAAAGAGTAAGGCGATCTCATCCCCCTAAAGAAAATGCCAACTAAGCTGGTTTTTCGTTTACTTGCAGACTGGAGCCAGCTTCCAATTACAAACTGCTGATGAAGGCAACTCAACTGGATGTTTGCACCAGCAGTCTGACCGAGTGCCATGCCCAGCGGCGCCATTTCACCCAAGATCTGGAGCAGCTTGAAAAGGTAAAAGTGATTTATCTTATAATATACACTCTCCCAATGTTTGTGGATTTCTTAAATCAACAGAAAAGGGATGTGGTGGCCAAGCAGGTGGAGGCTGAAGAGGAAAAGGTGGCCATGCTTAGGGACAAGGAAATGGTCAAGGTAAAACTGGAGCAGTGCAGGACAAAGCTAGCTTGGATGGCCGTGACAAACTATCAGACGGAGCTCGACAATCTCGAGCACTCGGTAAAACTGATTGAAAACAAGAAGGCCAAGCTGGAGCAAACCACATCCAAAAAAGAGACCACGCAGGCCACTTTGACCCAGCAATTGAGGTCAGTTTACTGATATATCTAAAGAATATATTACTAATTTCTTTATGCTTCACCAACAGCGAGTTTGAGGCTACTAAAAATCAAATTCTGGCCACCTACAAAGTGCAGGATGAAAAGCTTAGAGCAGCCAAGCGGTCAGTGCAGGATTTGCTCCTTAAATCCAGCGGTATTAAAGCCCAGATGCTGAACGCCGAGCGACGCATGCGGGAGGATCAACACGCGTACGCTGAGTGCGAGAAACTGATTGGCAATTACCATGCCGACTTCAATCGGGTGAAGGAGCAGCGAGAAGAGCACTCCCACAAGATGGAGGCGCTGAAAAAGCAGGTGGCCGAGAGCGAAGAGATCATTGCCCGTTTGCGGGAGGAACAGCAGCAGATTAAGCGAGAAATTAACGCGGTACAGGAAAGAGTGGAGGCTGTGAAGAATGAAAGACAGCAGCTCCATAAAGCCAAACGTAAGTTAATAACCCATTACTTTATCTATGTATTAAGATTATCATATCTTTCCTACAGAAAACATCAGTTGGGAAATCGAGGCGCTGTCCCGAAACAAGTCGAATAAGCTTTCCGTTTACGGTGAGCAGGCCATTCAGGTGGTTCATGCCTTGCGCACCCAGTATGCCGGCTCCAATGCGCATAGGATGCCCCGCGGACCGCTGGGCCAGTACATTAGTGCGCCCAATCCCAAGTATCGGGATCTGATTGAGAACCAACTGATGGCCTGCCTGCGCTCCTACATCGTTAGCTCCGACCGGGAACGCCAGTCGCTGCGGACGTTGCTGCAGAACAAGTTCCCTGGCGGAAATATGCCCACCATTATCACCAGTCCGTTTACGGATCGGGTTTATGATGTTTCCAGGAATAAAGTGCGTCCCACCACACCAAATACCACAGTGCTGATCGATGAAATCAGGTAAATTCATTTAAAATTTAATAATAAGCAAAGAAATCCATGTTTCATAATATATCTTTCAGCTGCGATGATCCTGTGGTCATGAACTACCTCATCGACATGCTGCGCATCGAAACGGTTCTGGTGACGGAGTCCAAGGAGATTGCCGAATTCCTCACCTCGGACACGGAGAATGTGCCGCCCCATTTGTCGCGCGTGCTGGTGCCCAATTTGGGATTGGAGTACATACCGTCGCCCAACTATGCCGTCTATTCGACTAGAATAAATCCTGCACGCTACATACACATAAACGTAGACGATCGCATACGCCAGCTGCAAATGGAGCAAGGTGGTCTGCAGGAGAAGGAGGCTTCCCTGGAAATAGACTACATGCAGCACAGGAGGCAGCTGGAGAACACCCATCAGGAGATTACGAAGAAGAGTGCCATGATTGGCCAGCATCAAGCGAAGAATCAGCGGGCAATGCAGCAGATAATGGAGTTGCAAAACTTTGACTATCAAGAGCTGCCCGAATATGATCGTCTGGTAGGTTCTAAGGCCATATAATATTACTTTCAAGTAGTAATTTATTGTGTTCTTCCCATAGAAATCCCATTTAGCCGATAGCGGTGAGAAAATTGAGAAATGCAAGGAGGAACGCGAACAGCTGCAGCAGAAACTGATTGAATTGCAGGAAAGCAAGGCCGAATTTGAGGCCGCTGAGGCAGCAGAAAAGAGATCCCTTGAGGGGATCCACGAAAAGCTTTCCACACTCGACACCGAAACTCGCGAAGTGGAAAGCAAGATCCGCAGCCTGGACCTTCACTACGAGGAAAACACTCGCAATTTGGAGAAAACCCTGCAGCTCGAGCGGAAATTGGTCGGCGAGAAGGCGGCCATGTTAAGGGATTTGGAAAGGGCTCGCAGTGAAGCTGAGAAATTCGGAGAGTTTGTGGCCACGACGCAATCGGAGGAAAAGATAAAGGAGTCAATTAGTCGCTACAAGTCGAAGATCAAGCAGGTGGAGCAGCTGAACTATAATCCTGAGGAAGTGGAGAGAGGCTTGGCTGAGCTGCGCGAGGATCTGGGTCTTCAGGCGCGGCACTTGGCCGTCGTAGACTCGGTGATCAAGAAGCTACGCATGGCGTACCATCAGCGGGCGCAGCTCTTCCAGAGATCGCGTCATCACTACTTTACCATGGTTCAGTTTCAGTTTGAGGTATAATTTAAGTAACTGCTTCACTATATTTATCTTATAAAACACCTTTTCTGATTATTTACAGCAAGCACTTGCTATGCGGCAATTCAAAGTTAGCTTTGAGACCAGTGACAAGGAGAAGACGTGGAAGATCAATGTGTATCCACCCAGTGGAAATGAAACTTCCAACACGAGAAGCTTATCGGGAGGTGAACGCTCGTTTACCACGGTTTCTTTGCTCAAAGGACTTTGGAGCACTTCAGATCATCCCTTCTACTTCCTCGACGAATACGATGTGTTTACAGTGAGTTGACTTATTATTCGACATTATTTTGAGTACCTTGAAGAATGCATATTATTTCAGGATGAAGTAAACCGTAAGTTTATCACAGAAATTCTGATCGGGGAGGGTTTGGAGTGGATGTCTCGTCAGTATTGTTTCCTAACGCCCCAAGATACGAGGGTAGAGGCCAGCAATCTCATTACAGTGCACAAGTAAGATATTTGTTTAGTAAGACTTTAAGGAATGTTTTTAAATTTAATTTCTCCCTATTTAGATTGGACGCACCCGAGCGGTAAATTTATTTAAATATTATATTTATACTCGGAAGTTGCAGGACGACAGAGCATCTCAGTATCAAGTATATTAAGAGTTAACGCTAAAACATGAATGGTTACCTTTATTTTAAGAAGGATTTTCAATGTTATTTTTTGGTTTAAATTTTAAGTTCAATACTGTTTGTTCACCTAAAATAAAAGTGTTTGAATGTGAAATTAGGAGTTTATCCGGCCTGTTCCAGTTTTCACTCGGAAGTGAATTTGATTTCATGCTAGCGGATTTAAGTCCGCCTGTCAAATGCTTGGCGGAAAGTTTCCATGTGAATTTTTCGGAAGTTAACAAAGTAACAACGAGGGATATTTAAATCCTTGCAATTCTTTCGGAAGTAAGTCCTGAAACTAGTCTAAAGGGGGATTCCCTAAACTGTTGAATTGCTGAATTGTTGAATTTTGGTCAGCTGTTAATCAGCTGTTCCATACAAAGTCAACTTTCAGAAATTTCAGCAATTCATCAGCCTCGGGGCTGCTGAAAATTTTGTTGAATTGCTGAAAAGCCAGAGCTGTCACCTTTTTTTAAAAGTCGTGGCAACTCTGTAACATTTTAGTATCACCAGTACGCATTATTTATTTTAAAATCAACTTAGAAAGCATATTTGTGGTTCTTTTTACCTTGCTAACACTTTTAGACAGTAACTAGCAATAATAAATCATGCTTACATGCTTTAAGTTCCGTGAAACTTTTCAACAAATAACAGCTGTTTGAAAATTCAACAGGAACCATTTTGGGTCGTTCCCTTAATTGCTGAAATTTTTTGTTGAATTTTCAACAATTCAGCAATTCAACAGTTTAGGGAATCCCCCTTAAGAAATTCGATTCCGTGTGAATCTTTCGGAAGTGAAAACTAGAACAGGGCCGTATATTTTAAGTTAAAATGCTGTTTTGTATTATTAAATAAAAGTTATTGAATATACAATTATAAATGTATATTTAAATTAAGTAAATAATATTTCAAATACTTTTCTTGGCATCTGGCAACCTCGTAAAGCGTCAGGGTGGCAACACTGGCAAGCATTTATTTGAGGTACGTTCAAGCTGCATGATGAAGTATGATAGATATAAACTTAATTAAATAAATGTTTAATCTGCCATTTTATCGTTTTTATTCTTAAAAATTCCATTTTATTTCCCTAGATTTTAGTTTTGATAAATTTAATTTAAAAATAGCATAAAGCTAATCGGTCAAGCAGTCTGACCGTGCATCCGCCATCAGTTGTTAGCTGCCAGTAACCTCAAAACAAAGCGGCGACTTATTTATTTGTTAAATTTATTGAAATTCCAAGATGAGCCGGAACTACAAGGAGGATCAGACCAACGAGGTCGAGGCGCTGGACTCCATATACTGCGGCGAAATGCAGAGTAAGTTTATGCTACTTCCCCAAAAGCCAAGCTCTAAAAACTCCAATTGCAGTTCTCGCCACGGAGCCACACCACAAATTCCAGATTCCCATTGCCACGGAGGAGTACAATGCGGAGGAGCCCGAGAACGGACTCTGCTGCAAGCTGGTCTTCACCTACACAGCCACCTATCCGGACGGAGCACCCGTGGTGGAGATCGAGGAGCCGGAGAACTTTGAGGACTCGTTCGAAACGCGCCTTTTGGAGCACCTCCAAAAAACGATCGAGGAGCATCTGGGCATGGAGATGATCTTCTCGCTGGTTAGCAGCGCCCAGGAGTGGCTGAACGAGCGCTGGGACGAGCACAAGTTCCACCAGGAGGAGCAGCGCGAGCAGAGGCTGCGCGAAGTGGAGGAGGAGGAGCGCAAGAAGTTCGAGGGCACCCGGGTGACGGTGGAGTCCTTCCTCACCTGGAAGCTCGATTTCGAGGAGTCCACCGGCATTGCGGCCAAGCGGGAGACGAACAATGTGTCCAAGAAGCGAACTGGTCGCGAACTCTTCATGTTGGACACCACGCTCAACGACTCGGACATCAAGTTCCTTTTGGAGGCGGGCGAAAGCATTGAGAGCGTCAAAATTGATGAGGCTCTGTTCCAGGACCTGGGCGAATTGGATCTGGATGATGATGACGATGAGGATTGGGTGCCCGGCGCGGAGGACGACGATGATTAAGTTAGATTCTCCAAGGCATATTCGTGTGTATTGTGTATATAAACATTAAATGCCAACTCGTTTATTAATCTAAGTTATTTTGGTTCTGCAAGCTCATTTCCGAGAGACGGTAGTGGGTCTCCGACTTGATGTCGTCCAGGTCGAAGAACTCCTCGTCGCTGTCCTCGTGCTTTGGCTTCTCTTCATCCTGGCCCTTCTTGGCCGCTGGCAGCTTTTTGTTGGGGAAATTCAGGTTGGACCAGGAACCAGGCTCCAGTTTGGGCAGAGTAATCTCCACTTTTGTGCCGTACATATGTGCACTGGCTTGGCTCACATTGACAATCTAAAGAAATAGAAGGATTAGCAATGTTTCAAGGAAGTCTATTATATAGCCTTGCATGAATGGATTCAATTAATTATTTTGAATTATATGTTTTATATGAATGAATTAATTAGAAATTTGAGCTTAATAGAATTGAATGAATTTAAAATTTGTGTTTTATAGAATTAAATGAGTGAATGGCATGAATTCCGAAATAATTCAAACGACAATTTCTTTTAAAGAAGAAAGGGCCATAATTTTGGGATTAAATCTGCATGAATTTTAATTTCTAAGCAGTTAACATTGATTTTTTAAAAATTTTCCACTTTTTGTTCTTAAAAGAAAGCACAAAAAAAATGTGGCAAATTCAAAAAATTATTCATTCATTCATTAAATTAACCAAATCAGAAATTTCATGGCATACTATGATAAAACAAAAATTTAATGATTCACGCAGGGCTTTAATATAGACTTACCCCTCTTAATTCCAAGTCCAAATCAAACCGGGCGTTCTCCTGCTCGGGAAATACCAAGTTCACGTGCAGCCTGATGGGATTCAGCTCCACCAGACTCTGGCTGTGGTCATATTTCTTGGCATAAATGGCCACAACCACATTGGTGGCCGTCTGGTGCCAATCGTAGCGGCACTGCACCACCTTTTTGTCCTCGTTCTGAAAGGATTAAAAGTTAAGTTGATTGTTAACTATTCAAGGAGCTCTAAACCCACCTCCTTCACCCACTTGTGCTGACCGTAGGCACAACCCTTTTGGGCCATGAACTGGGCAAAGTCCGAGGTTCTTTTCTGGCAGCAGGACCAGAACTTCAAACCCTCGTGGAAGATGGGCACTCCCGGATGGTAGGTGCATTCGGCAAAGTCGCTGCTGGTGCCCGCAAAGGAGTAGGTGCAGCCGTTGTTCTTGCAACTGGTTCCGATTTCGATGGCATCGCTGGATTTCTTGGCCACTGGGATTTGGGCCGCAAAAACAATCTCTTTTAAGGCGGGAGCCACCGTGGGTTGGAGCACAGTCAACGGGGTTTCAATGGGCGGCCGGGGCAGAGACTCCCGGATGGGGGCACGCACCTCGATGACCTCATCCTTGTCGGATTCATCCTTCACCGGCTTCTCCGGCTCCGGAGGCTTGACATTCGAGTGCTTCGCCAAAGTGCAGCCCTTGATGTTGAGGAACTCGGTGAAGTCCACCGACTTCTTGTTGCAGCAGCCCCATCCCTTGTAGGCGTCGTGGAAGAATGGATCCCCCGGATGGTGCCGGCATGATTCTGGAAGAGATTAGGTGGGGTAAACACCGATCTGACATGTGCTTTGATATTACTGAGTTAACCCACCATCGTTGTTGGTCGCCGGATCGAAGAGTTGGCCACAGCCTCTGTTGTAGCACTGCTCCATGGTTATTTTGTTTTGGTCTCGCTTAAATTATCAAAAATTCGCTTAAAATCTAGAATATTCGCAGTGTATGGTGTAGTATGACCATTCTGCGAGGGCCGAAATCTAATGTACTTTTAAATAGCTAAAAGAGTGTTGGGTTTTTATCTTTGCTACTTGATGGTCACACTGTAGGTTTCACCGCGTTAATTTAAAATTATCGAAATTATAATATGAACTTTTCATTTAATTTATTTCTTTACCAAAAAAAAAGCAAAGTTATGATCTGAAAAATCCAGACTTTTTTCTTAATTTCATTTGCTAGCCATTTTATAACAACTGAAAAGAAAAAAATAAATTAAAAGAAAAGACTTTAAAACCACTTTAAAATATAAATTTTTTACGAATTATGAACCAGTTCTCAACTAGCACTTATCTAAGCCCAACATTTCAAGGTATTAATTTTGAGTTATAGTTATTGGCAGTTATTTGAACCATGCCATGGTTACTTTGAGAACATTACAATAAAAACCCAGCCCGTGACTGCCGAATGCCTTGGAATATGTGACAAATAGCAGCTTTGCGAGCAATCCCTCATCGCTGGTGGGTTTGGAAAGGCCAACAGTCGCAAATGCAGAGCAATTAAAAGTGATAGTAAATTTGGAATTATGTTAATTACTGCCACTGTTTGGCCGGCCAAAGCAGTCTTTATAGAATTTGCTAATTGCAAGACGGAATTGAACTGAAAACCATTACTTGCAAATCACCTGAAGGTCAAAGCTTTTGGTTTTCGGGCTACGTGATTTCTTCACGGAACTGGCAAAAGGCGACACTTTGAAATTGGATCGAGGAATGGGCGGGAAACGGGAGTGTTTCTCCTTAGGAGTAACTGGTTCCCGGGGGCCCCGGGTAATGTCTCCGCCTTGCAATATTGTTTATTTGTCACACTCAGTCATATACACTCGTTTTCACGGTTTCATTTTCATTTATTGCCCGCGGTGTCAGAGCATAAAATGAACTTACACACAGTAAGAAATATTAAGACGATTTATCATCAATTTACTGAAATTACATGTGGTTTTGTGAACCAGTTACCAGATTTTAATGTGATTTATTAAATATGTCAAAGCAACATTTTGTAACAGTTTTTAACTTTTATTAAAAAATGGAATAATATAAAAATATATCATTGAACTTGAAATTTAAATTCTTTATTTTCTTATTCTTTCAAAAATGTCAGGAATTATTTATATTTTTAAGTGTTTATATTATTTCTACTAAAAATCGGTAACGTTTATAAAAATAGGACATCTATAAGGTAAAACAAATATTTAAGAGAGCAAATCATATCACACCATATCATATTATGATCTGATTTTTTCGCTGTGCTCTCATTCAAATTGTCGTTTCGCTGGAAATTCTTGTGGTCAACAAGGTTATCAACACTCTTGGCCTGGCGCTGTTCCTGGGCCGCACTTCAAATAAAAATAAAATTATGACAAAGTCGGCGTTTTCCGCCCGGCTCCACAGGCACATTCGTTTGGTTATTTTTTAACTGCGGCTGTGAATCATGCCATTGCTAATGATCCGTTGCCCATTGTTGTGAAACCGACCGAGAATTGTAAACTTTTTACTGGTGCGCGGTGCAGCTCTCGGCTTTTGGCTTGGGCTTTCGGCTTTCCGCTTTTTGACAATCGCAGAAATACAAAAATAAATAAATAAATAAGTAAATATAACGGGCGGCTGTGGTCGCAACATCGCCAGTGTCACTGGAAATTAACACCGCCCGCTTTTTGACTTTGGTCTCCAGCTTTTGTCTTTTGCCCCGACCAACCGACCGCTCGGGCGTATACGTAATTTAGCATACAATGGCTGAGTAGCTGAGTAGCCATATAACATGCAATTGTGGCGCTGCTGCTGCTGTCATGTCATGTTGCACAGCACAGCACATGGAGTACAGATTTCCCGCAATGGCAAAATTCGCAGCATTCCAGAGCCACTGACGATGTGCGTGCTCCGATTTGGCCAATACTTACCCTACTTATCCTTATCGTCGATTGCCGATTGCCTGCCAATTTCCCAGCTTAAAAATAGAAAAAAAGGAAAACTTAAAACCAAAGGGATGTTGCAATTAGGCCGCCGCAATGCAAATGATCTGCTGCGAGCTGCACGCTCTCTCAAGTTCGTTTCCCAAGTCTTTTGTTTGCCAATCCAAATTGCAGCTCCAAAATAAAAAAGTTCGGACTTCAGTGGATGTCTTGTTAGTTTCAATCATATTTTAATAGCTTTATGATTGGCTGCCTGATTGTTATTGTTACTTTATTTAATAAACCAAACAAATAAGGAAAATCATTCATTTGAAAATTATAAATTCAAATGTGGAGCGCAAAAATGCGATCGGTGAATGACTTGTGAATAAATATTAACTATTTTTAGCACCTATTGTTTAATTGATGTGAACCAATAAAATGTTAATAAAGTTTCAGTTCGCTATCAATTTTGCTGAATTTTTTTCCCAAAAATAATGATTGATTTTGATTTTAATTATGTAACTTTGAAACGGGAAAGTAAGAATTTTTATTTGTTTATTTGAGCGTAATTTTGTTAAAAACAACTGTTTTGAGCAGCTAATAACATAAGTAACTAATCCATTATACTTTTTGATAGATTTACAAAAATATATATTTTTTATTGCAAAAAAGACAAATCGATTGGAAACTAAATTACGATCTGACTACTTTTACCAATATGACGGCCAAAATATCGTATTTTTAGGAACAGAAAACAAGATCAAAAATTTTTAACGAAAATAATATTTGGAACGTTATTTTTTTTTAAAACAATCCACTTGTAAAACTCAAAAGTTTTTTTTTAGAATCTTAGAATTAAATTGATTGTCAAAATAAAATCATGTGTTTATATTATTTTAAAGTATTAATAAAGAAATCAAATTAAGAGATCCAGTTGAGATTTATTTAAATACACATCCTCATTCAATTTAAAAACGCTCTTCCTATTGATTTGTTAATAAGAGTTAACACATTTATTTACAAGAAAATTGTTTCTAGTCTCCAGCTCTTGCTCCTAGTTCTCCGGCTGCAGTCAGTCATCCGCCAGCTCCACTGACCACTGACCACTCAACAACATGACTCGGGGGTTCGACTTTGGCCTGTGCTCCATCCTCGGACTCAGAAGTATCTAAACCGCGTGGTGTAGGGACTGGGACTTCCGAAGAAGTTGTATGTCGCATAGGCGGTGTCGGGGGTCTGGAATGTGGTGCTAAAGTACGTTGACGGATCCCCCGTCGCCGCCACTGCCACAGCCGCCGCTGCTGTTCAAACAAACAAAAGCATTTTAATTGGGTTTCTCACTCGACGCGGCGTGATTAATATTGGATTATTGGATTTGTAAGATATTGGTGCACTTGGAGGGGGATTATTGGGCTCAGGGGGTATTAATTGTGGTTGCTGCGGGTGCCAAGTGGTGAATTCCAAGCGTGGGCGTCACCCAATGACACGGCTCGAAGGTCGAAGCTCACTCCGTCAATCACCATCGCCACTGCAATCACGGAGTCGACGTCACAGTCGTTGGCCGATTGCCGATTGCCATCGCCTTTGATTTTGATTGTCCACCGAGTCGTCGTCGTCCGTTCGTCTGACAACGCCCAGCCACTTTGATTAGAATGTCGGTCACATTTGACCATTGCGACGGCCCCCTGCGCCATCGGTATGTACACTGCGAAAATTAATTGCCTAATGATAAGTACACTTTGATATCAAGAGGAAATCCTATTTAACTTTTATTAGAAGTTACCACTTGAAAGATAACGATCTTGAATTGATAAATCAAACACTCGAAAGTAATGTTCAGTAAATAAAAAGGAAGATTTAACAAAAATTTTTTAAGATTTAAGGAAGAAAAATGTTGGTAACTACGTTATAGAGTTACAAGTCCATATATTTTTTAAAACATTTTCATTTAAAAAATTGTGTTTTTGAAGATTTTTATTAACAAGATATCCTTTCTTTTTTTGTCAGTACTACGGAAACTGTTTCAACCACTAATACCGAGATTATAGTGATCATCATTTTATTATAATTATAATTTTAATTTGTAATATTTTTAATAAACAAGATATATTTCCTATTTTTTCGGTACTAAAAATTCCTATAAAATCATCCATTGATAACCGAGATTATAGGGAAGTATTATTTTAAGTAATTTCCATTAAGTTGTAAATTGCATTAAATTATCTAGTTCGTTTTCTAAGTCTTTTGTTTTCTTTTTTTGATTAGAGGAAAGCAAATGATCTCAGTCTTTAGTTGAGGCTTAAGAATCATATCAAAAAGTGTTTCCATAATAACCCCCCTTTTAGAGAACCAAAGCCTCTGATTGCAAGGAAGCTTTTGTTTGAACTAACTGACTTTTCTTTGTGTAATTGTGGTGGGTGGCTGCGGCTGGAGATTGCCCAACTGCTTGCAGGCCAATCGCCGCTCGAATTCATGCCTGGAACTAAATCAGGAGGGGATCACGGGGGCGGGGGGAGAATGTGGAATGGGGCGGGGGAGCTGCCATTAATCTACGCCAGTCTTGGGCAATTGTTACGCTGCGGCTTCAGTTATAGATTGGTGCTGCCATAACCATTATAACCATTACCATGGCCTGTGGGTTGGTGGGTTAGTGGGCCTCCTAGCCGCAGGCAGTCCTCATCAGGAAGCCAGAAATCCGAATTCCCACTGCGTAACCATTTGGCTTTATGGGTTTTGCGGCTTTTGGGGGAGCAGAGAGAACTTTGGCCATGCAAAGTTAATTACACAATGCCTGGTCCTTGTCGAATCTTAAAGTCTCAAACTCTCAGGCTTTTCCAGCAATCGTGCATAAATTGTCAAATTGTAAAAATTATCTCAACTTAGCGTCGTTGCCGCGAACGCTTTTTACGCTTTCTGCCGTCCATTGTGAAACATTTGTCTCTCCATTCATTTGTACAATGAGTCCTACGAAATAGCGTAGAAAAAGTTGCCCCATTTCTGCATGCTCAAAATCGATATGCAAAAACAGAGCAAGCTGTGCAAAAACAGCGAAAATCAACTGCCAACATATTTTGCATGCGGCAAATGCAAAAGCAAAAGTCGCATTAGTCGCGCATATCATTGACTCCGTCTGGCCGACGTCTGCTCCCTGCCTCCATCTCTCTATCTATCTCCATACCATTCCATTCCTCGCCAGACCAGATTCCGCTCCTACTCCACTTTGAATCCGGCACGGGACCATTTGCGGTCTGAGTCGGAGTCGCGAATAGCAATTGTTGCTCCAGCACCTGCTTTTGCCTTGGCTTCTGCTCGGATCGTTAAGGAAACTGCCTATGTTCTCTACAAGCTAGGGTTATTTTGGTTCAGTCTAGGCTTTTGGTTCTCTGTTTAAAGAAACACTATTTAAGATTAAAAAAAAAACATTTACAGAAATTCCTTTGCAGAACATGAATGTAATTGAGATTAACCTCTTTGAGTTCTAAAACTTAAATTGGTTTAACATTACTAAAATTTTAACACTTACTTACAAAAACATCTCCTAACATTTTAAATATACTCTGTATAAATTTCTAATCATTTGACACCGAAATATATGCAAAAACGTATTCTAAAAATTGTAAATTGAAAAAACACAAATTGTTACTTTATTTTGTTTTACTTAACTTCGCATAAATTTTAATGTTAAGAATACTGTTTTGCATATAATCAGAATTTCTTTTTAAATAACTATTTTGAATTTAATAAAATAGTCGAAAAAATAACTTTAAAAATAACTCAGTAAATAAATTATTCCAGTTCGTTTCCTAAGTCTTTTGTTGGGCACTTAAATTTAAATCGTATAGAACTGGATCTTTCACGTTATCAAGTTTCAGCTCATAAACTCTTTTTTAACTTCAGATGATTTTTAAAGCACAATAAAATCTAAGCTCTTCAAAAATATTCTAGTTTGTTTCTTAAGTCTTTTGTTCGATTAAGTCGTTTTTTTAAATTTCTTGAAATTTGATCTTTAGAGTTATTCTTTTATTTAATGGTAACTTTATTTCAGTTCGTAAACTCTTTTATAACTCCATAGGATTTTTAAGGCACAATGTAATCTGATCTCGAGTAAGCCATTCTAGTTCGTTTCCTAAGTCTTTTGATTGAATAAGTAATTACGAAATTTCTTGAAACTGAATCTATAGAGTTGTGTGGTGACTTTAGGGTTTTTTCTGATTTAGAATATGCTTGAAGCTCCTGGTTGGATTTTATTTTCTTTTTTCTTTTAGTTTTCAAAGATCAAGACTAGATAACCCAAAGGGATACGGCACCTTAACTTATGCTTATCTGCCCATTTGCATTCGCATCGTTTTGTCCCGCTCCTCCAATTGGCCGCAAGTCAGCCGCAGCCACCTGGAGTACATGTGTTCCTCTGCGGCCTGCTCCTCCAAGCGAGAAGCTGGTCGAGAGCATGCCCAGGTCGTTTTGGCAGTGGTCACAGTCGATGGTTTCCCCGGTTCCGTCTTCGTCTTCGTCTCAGTCTTTATTTTCATTTCCATTTCCCGCCATCCAATCCAATCGCGGTGCCGCCGCACTTCAAAGCCGAATCGGAGCTGTTAATTAGGCGCTAGTTTTATGTGCGCTTAAAATAATTGCCACTACGGTGATCACTGATCACTGATCAGCAATTCGAGTGCTTATCCATATGCAAAACATAAATACAAATCAAATGGTGCATAGACAAACGAAAAATGCTGCGAACAGAATTTAATTGGTGTTGCTTGTTTTTTTTGTTTAATAATATTTTGTCGGTTTATTCATAATTTAAATTTAGATTTTTGTTACAAATAATAATGGTAAATAATAAGGTAAAATAAAGGGTAAAATCATAATACAATTCCAATTTGAAATATAAATTAAAAAGAAGCAGAAATCATAAGAGAAATACAAAACAATAAAGTGGTAATTAACATTGGGTTTTCAAGCTAATTAAACTAAGTAATGTTAAGTTTATTTTAAGGGGGAAGAGGGGAGGGAAGGTTGAGGGGGAGGTGCCAAGTTAGTGGGTGGCTGTAATTAGCTAAGAGGGACGCATTTCCGTTTCCGGTGCTGGTGTGCAAAATTCATGTGTGTGTGTTTGTGCTTTCGAGTGCTGTGTGTGTTAATTACTGGTAATCGGTGTGGTATTTTGTGTGGGGAAGATTTGGTATTCGGTGTGGGGAAGATTTGTTACTTTAACCAGAGAGTTTTCCTGCGAATAAGACATTTGTGTGTGTAAATGTGGATTGTAAATTACTGGGCAATTATAAAACAATAATAACAAAGAAATAACAAAAACACGGCTACATATTGCACTAATAAAGCTTTTCTCTTCTAGGAGTGTGTTTGTGTTTGAGTGTGTGTGGGTGGGTGAGTCAGCGAGATGGTGGAGCTAGGCAGCTATCTCTTTTCTGCGTGTTTGTTTTCTAGACAGTGCGTTTAAAGAGGTTCGCATTACTTTGCTGGGGCGGCACAAAACCGTATCCGGAGGCTCCGACGACCACGCCGCTGGACTCGTCCACTGCATCTGGCGGGGATGGGGGGAAGACCACGGGTCCTGTAAGAAAAATAGGGTATAAAGTGTGGAAATGTATAGGATAGAATACAAAATTTATAGTTGTGGATGCCTTTTTCAAAATTTCTTGAATTTTTTCTTACAGTTTTAAGTTATGTCTATATTTTTAAAAATTTGTAATACTTATTACAAATATTTATATAGTTAAGTACCTAAAGATATAAACTATTATGCCTCCTAGCCACTTAAAGAACTTTTAGCTCTGCATTTTTAACTTCATTTATATTTTTACTAGTTTTTCATATTTATTAGTTTTATATATTCTAAACAATCATCCAAAAATATGTTTCTTTTTTAATCACCTAAATAATGCATGAATAATAAAAACAAAAACGTTAAAAAATAATACTTAATTATGTGATATTTCAGTGATTTAATTAATCATTAAAAAATGTTAATAAAAATACTATTTACAAGAAATTTGACTATTTCATTACTACATAAACTTAACTGCCATGTACAAATCGTTAAACAAATTTAAGAGGGGATATTTTGTAGATATTTGTGTTTAACAGATAAAAATATGCCGTAAAACTGTTTGTAAGCCATATAATCTAAAGATATATAAACTAACCCCTGAACTCACCTCTGTTCTGTCGGGGATCCCGAACCTGTGTGGCCGACGAGGGTCCCGCTAGCGCCACGGGATCGAAGCCAAAGCGAGCCCGGCTGGGGAACTGGCCCAGAAAGTATTGCTGACCCGCGGCGAAGGCCACAAAGAGGCAGAGGGCGGCGATGGTGACTAACTGCAAGTGGATAGAAAATAATGCACAGGGTTAGAAATATTTAACTATTTCAGTATTTGGGTACTACGAACATATAACACATGGCTGAGAGGCATGCACGGGGCAATTGCACTGGTTACACGCTGGCCAAAGCAATTAAGCCGTGGAAATGTGTGCCAATGCCATAAGCCGACAATTAAATACCGAACGCAAGACGCAGAATGCCACATGGTTTTGGTTTTGCTTTCGGCCCGGTCAAGTGCAGTCGCCTTGAGCACGAGCCAAAGAGCCAGAAAGCCAGAAGCCCAGAAAGCCAAAAGTACCAAGTACCCAGATCGCCGGAGTGCCATTAACAGTTCCAGTTCGCCACCGATTCAATTGCGGTTCTGCAGTTCGATGGCCAAAAAACCTCTGCAATTTGCCACGTCAACTGGTGCAATGGCCCATGACGAATTTATGACAAATATGGCACAATTTGATCTGCCGGCTTATAACTTATAAGAAAATTGAAACATTCAAGCTAAAAATAGCTCTCTAATTGTTGATCAATTATCATAAATTGAGATAATATCTTTTGAAATTAATTGATAATATTTTTAAGGAAATATAAAATTATATTTAATATTTTCTAGTACATTAATCAGTATTTAAAAGGTAACAAGGATCCTCAGTTTCATAATCAGCTAAAAATTATATTAATAAAGTTAAATAAAATAATAGTATATTTCGGTTTCATTATTTATTTTAATTATAAACCTATAAAGGTCTTCACTTTCCTAATCAGCTAAAAACTGATAATTACCCACAGTTAACTAATACTTTTTCTTTTCTTAAGTATTTCAAATTGTCACTGGTTTTATAATTTATTTTAATTTAATGAATCCAACTACTTAAATCAGTATTTAAACACCAAACCTATAAAGATCCCAAATTTCCTAACAATCCGACAAGTGTTAACTACCCACTGGTTTTAATTACCACATTTACCCGATCCTTTTTGCGAAATATTTAAATATCAGTTGGGAGTCCATTCTCCCGTTTATAATTGGACATGGATGTGGTTCAAAAAAAGTGTGAGCGTATTATATTTAATTGTTCGCTTAACAACCCAGTATGTGGCACTTAATCTGCGATTGCATGTGCTTTTAGGAAAAATAAAATCTTAATTACAGTTTGCGGGGTCCAGGAAGCTGATTTCAAACTGATTTGTGTCTCCCAAAAGAAACAGTAAATTTAAGTCGATCAGGCAAAGTTCGAACTATTTGAAAGCCTCACACAAAAGCCGTTGGAAAATGTGCGCTTTATTCACATTATTCACTTTATTCACCGCATTCAATGCACATCACGTTGAGCCGCCACAACTGCGCCGAAGTGTGATAAATTTGTTAAATAGCAATCACGGCTGCGATTATTTTTCCCACTGACCCCAATCTCCACGATTGCCTGGGATGCTAATAGGTAATGGATAATGGATGGATAGTATATCGTGGAGGGGGTGGTTGGGAATGGGGGCCACATGCTGTGCAAATTGTCTGGCTGACTGGTTCATAAATCCATTCTGTCTTCGGTCCGAGTGCTCAGTCCAAATCGAACGTCTTAGTTAAGGCCGTCACTTGACTGGCAGACTGACTTTAATCATAGGGCAAATTTGACTTAATAGAACGGGTTTTGAACCCATTTTCTTATATGAATTTTGTACATATGCCTTGCATTTGCAACCTGCTAATGCAAATCTTGCACAAACGCTTTTTATTTAGGCCTCATTAATTGCCTAATGGGCCGCGCCTTTTGGCTGCCTGAATTTGCTCGATTTTTCCGATTTTCCGAGGGATCAAAATCAAAACCCCCTGGGTCCAGGCCAAGTTGCAACAATAATGCTAATTGCTATTAGCCAAAATATGCTGCAAAATAATCACAAAATATGCAAACAAGGCGGTCGCAAAGTTGCCAACAAGCCAAAGCGACTTGTGAAAAAAATGGTTTTAATTAATTCGTGTTTGCAGCCGCCGTTGTTTTGTTGTTGTTGTGCCTCAACTTGTTGTTGGTCAGGCCGAAAAAAATAAAAATGAAACTAAAACTGAGACTAAAACTAAGACTCTATTGCCACATCCAACAAATTGAAACAGTGGCGCAGGAATCGGTTTCAGTCAAGTGATTCAAGAGATTTAACTGAGTTCTCAAAAACATGTGATCTTAACAGGTGATCGTTAAGGGAAATATTGACGGAAAACAAGAGTTCGGGTCTACGAATCTGTCATTTCGACTCACTTGAATCAAGTGACTAATGATCTGTTTTGGGGATTAGGCTTTGGAATCGGTCTGTAATTCATTTGCGACGATTACTCTACAAATTTTGACTTTAAACTGAGGAAACAACATTAATTCATTGCAGTTTAAATCGTATTTTAACTGAGACGCAATGAAAATCATTCGTTTGCAGACATTTTTTTAACGAGGTGTATATCAATAATTTCCTTATCGTTAATTGTACATTTTTTGTTAAGAAAACATATTCTTCTTAAAATAATATTTGTTTATAAACTTAAAAAGACTAATATTGCAGATTCCTATAACCACCAAAAATATTTTAGTTAGGAGCGTTAATTTGTATAATTTATTTTGTTAAGATAACTGAAAAAACCTTTTATTTTTGGTTTTAATTCAAGTAAATAGTTTCTAATAATTAAAATTAAAGATTTAAGCTTATGAACAAATTTATAAAAAATAATAAATGGTTACTAATAAATAAAATATATTTTTCATTTACTGACAAAACAAGTTATTCACTTGATAATGGATGTAAAACCAATCAAACTTCCTACATAAATGTTTTAAACGGAAATGAGACACAAGCGGCTTTGTCGAAGGAGGCTTTCAAAACAGAGCTAAACAAATTGGATCCATCTGTCTTGACCAGTGGTTCGGGTTCTCCCCTTCGTCTGTGCCACTGCCAGAGAAACTCTTGGCCAGAAAACGGCGATCTTGGCCAGTAAATTTGGCCAGCAAAAGGTATGTAAACACATGTAGCCGTCAAAATGTCGTCAGCCGGCAGTTTCTAGTCTGGAATTCCGCGAATGCCGCGAGATCGCAGCCTCACAGCTGCCGAATTTGAAAGTAATCGCTTTGGCTAATTTAGTGGCTTTTAATTGGGGCTAATTAGCGGTGGCAGTGGGATTGGGAACAATGCCTGGCCTGCGGTCTTCCTGGGCCAACACCACCCACTAAAATTCCGACAAATTAGCCGAACAAATGACCTTAGATATGATTTCGTAATTGGGCGACTTGTGACTTGCGACTTGGGCTGCTATAAAACCGCACCAGAAACCGCACTCAAAACACACATATTTTTTTCTATTTCTATTTCAGCTGTTTTATGCTGTTTTTTTTTGCTGTTGGCCAACGGCGGCTCATGCGAAAATATAAAACCCACCCACCCACAAACAATGATTAAGTGCAGCAACATGTGAGCGTGCCAGCGTGCATATAAAGTCAAATAAAAAGCCAGCTAAGAAATCAGCAAACAACTTGGAGCTGCAGTGGATACTATGGTGGATACTATGGAGCACCTTGGACAGACGACGCCAGCTACATTGTCTCGTTAGCCCCAAACGCTGATAGCCCCTGGATTCGGGGTATAATAGCTCTGTCATGCCGCAGATATACTTACTTACCACACTAACTCCCTGCCAGCCGACTTTTGTGGCACTTGAAATTGAATACAAAATTGACTTGTAATCCCAATTTTCCTTAAGGAGTCTTAAGCTGCAAAGTGTTTTCTGTTTTGTTTTGACAGTTTAAAACACATTAATCATTATGATGAAGGGCTTTCAATTTGACATCCTGTTTTTTAGAATGCGAATCTAAATAATTATAACATTTTCCAATAGCCTTATTTTAGTTCCTAAAAATTATTGCATGATTAAGGTCTAGAAGTTGTCCTAGTTATAAGCATTTAAATTTTTTAAGGTCTGTATTTCGATTGTTATATCTATTAGATTTCAAATTCTTCATAGTGTATTAAAAGTCCATCATAACCCAAAACATTAATTCCCTTTCAATTTGCCACCTTATTAATTGCTTATTGGTTATCACTTATCACAGTTTAAAGATCACGAATATGGATTGTAATGGTCTCACTACCCAAACGACTCCAAAACTGCTCTACTTTAAACACTTTCCACTTTACTACTCATATTTCCTTTAGCTACTCCCTTCATATTTTCAATTAGATTTTTTATTTATGCACTGGCTTTTAATGGCGTTTAGATTTTGATTGGCTTCCAATGTGCTGCTGAGTATAAAATAATTTATATTTATTGCTAGGCTACCTAAACAGGTAAACGAATTTCGAGTGTGTCCAGAAGTTAAAATTTGCATGACTCAGAGGAAAAGCCAAGAGCCTGAAAAGCTGATGGATATCCAGGTGGCATTTGAGCAGCTGCTAATTAATCTTGTTTATATTTAAACTTTAACCGATTTGTCATTTACCTGGCTGGTAGTTTGTCCGTTCTGTCCGTTTGAGCGTAATTAATTTGATGTGAAAACTACACGCAGATGGAAAAGTGAATGTGATTGGATTTGGATCTCGGGACAATTGAACTCGCCCCGAACACGAGTTATTATTGTTATCTTTTGTTAACGATAGCAACGCCCAGTGGAGGTTTTTTTCTCATTTTCGGCAGAGGGGTCAATGCTCGATTGAGCAACCATTTGGCTGACTTTCAACACGGAAGCTTGAGTTAAGAGTTAAGAGCTGAGAGCCGAGAGCTTGGAGCTCCCAAAACGCAAATAACGCCGCTTGTCCGAAGCTGGATCGGTGCAAAGTGTTGGATGTAGTAGGTGCAACCAACGGACAACTGCCTGGTAAGAAAAAAAAATAACAACTGCTATAGGAAAAGCAAAGGCTAAAGCCACTACAACCGACGACTGCCGCTTCAAATTACTTTGAATTGCGTTTAATAGGTGGGAAATGGAGTCAAGTCAGTTGGCTGCTCGCTTGGACTTCGTGGCCAGCTGCCCCGCTGATCGTTGCCCAATCTATTGTCAATTGTAATTGAATTATTAAACATCAATTTGGCTAGGAAGTGCAAATTGCACAGCGGTGATCGTGCAGCGT